AGCCAATACATTTCCTAGTTGACGCTTGATCAAGCTCACTGGATGTCTTATTTCTTGGAGTCATTTTGCAATCTCGAGCTGAGCTGCCGTTAGGTCGATCTCTTTTGTGCACAGCGCTCTGACTCGACGAAACATCGACGAGACAATACTGGCGCACACGTGGGTGTGCTGAAAAACTTTGGGTGAACAATGATATCCGGCGAAGGCTACTTGTTCGAAGTCCTCCATGTAAATATTAGCTAAAACTCGGGATATTTGGGATCCCATTGCAAGACCTTGTTCTTGGGAGTAAACATTTGTGTCAAAAACACACTGATCAAGATTCAAACACACTCTTATGCCCCCAACTATTTCATTTACCGACAGCTATGTCAGTTCCCCGAGTGTCGTGTCTGCCAGTAAAAACCTCTTACTTACCTCCAGAGCATCTGCCCTAGGGATGTTTGTGTACATTGAGATCACGTCGAAACTCACGAGGACTTCGCTGGCAAAGTCGTACGAATTCCTAATGAAGGTGCTTTAATTTCCCGTGAGCGGTTTTTATACCAGCTAAGAATCTGGCCAGTTCATGTGGTGGCGAGCCTATACCATCCACTACTGGCCATATCGGGACATCTGCCTTGTGGATTTTTGGCAGTCCGTAGAGTGGCGGTTGAATCGCACTTTTCTGATACAACCGATACCCCTTACCTTGTCCTTAGTTACCCAAATAAATCAGCCAGTCTGGTTCACACGTTAGATGCCTGTTTTATTTACTTCGAAGCGGCAATGACATGGGATAAAGAGTTGAATAAGAAATCAAGCTATATTTTTATTGCAAACCAATTACTTTAACTTATTATCCGGGTTCAGCTTCTCCTTCATTTTCTATCTGTTTGGCGAAATCTTCGCCTCGGCGGATAATTCCTCTCTGAAACAGTAAAAAGTAAATGGTTTTGCCAGGTCTGATATGGTGGTTGGTTTCTTTTGTAAAAGTGATTCGAAAATCAAGAGAACTACGAGAATGTCCATATCGCATGGCTAAGAGTTAACATACGTGAGGGATTCGACTCTTCTCTTATCAGGTTGATCCAGGGTTGCTGCACATAGATTTCGGCCTCTCCGTACATTGCATCACCTAGCTTTGTGAATGTCATCAAGGCCAAGCAGAACACCATCAGAAGACTGGATGCCATCTGACCAAAGTTGAAGGTCAGTTTGAGACCAACCGGGACCGAAAGCGGCGAGTGAGGTGATCCGATCTAGTGAGCATGAGTTTATATCTTGTTGAACGGCGCTAATTGGTCCAAACCTTTTGATCAACAATCAACCAATAGGAGGTGAGGAGCTAGTTGGAAAGATTCCTTCCAATGGACTAACAAAAATCAAAGACCTGTTCTGAAGAATCCGTATATGTATCACTCATTATATTCCTCCTCTTATACTGAAAGTTTTTCTCGTTGGTTTATGTAATGCAGAGTAGGACTGGGAAATTTCAAGTGCAACTAAAGTGGGTCATTCCCGTCCCACCAACCGGATCCGGATAGGTCATCTGGGGAGGTTTTTCTTGAGCTGAGGATAACTACAAAAATCGCTGACTTTAGTGTTTAGTTTGTGCAAGATCTCAACCTGATTTAGAACTGTGAGTGATACAAAAGAACCCTAAAGCCCAATTTAACTCTCCGTTGATTTGCACCAAGAATTCCTACTGGGACTATTCAGAGAAAGAAAGCATCTGACAAGTAACTGACCAAGAAGCATGAATCAAACTATTGGTCACAGAGTCAGTAAGCCCATTTAGAGGATTCACTAAGAACAGAAGGTTTTATGTGACAGATATTTACGAAAGCCGATGGCACATTCCCTTGTAATGCATGATCAGATTCCAAGTTCAACGACTTGGGATTGTTCGACTTCGTAAGAAAGGCAATGACGGTTCAGATAACAGATGATTAGTGATGCCCCTCTCTGAATGAATCAAAACGGGTATTTGGTTGTTCTGCAGGCACCTCAATCCAAGAAAACACCCAGCATCATCGACTACGATGGCTCGATCATGTGCTACGCATGCCGAAACACCGTCTACCGAGATGAGTGTTGTCCTCAGTGCCTCCTTCAGGATGGCGCAAACCGCGAGATGGACAGCACATAACTTGGCAGAAAGGCGTGAAAGAGATCACGAAGAG